GTTTCATTAAGCTTCTCAAGCTCCATGTATTGTGTTGACTCGTCAGGCTCCTGCATAGGAGGTTGAGAAGACTCCATGAGCAGAAGGGAATTGCAAAATTCTGAAATAGCACCTAGAGCAATGTGGTCCTTATAAGACTTCATGAGCGTAGCATGTAGGTGCAAAACAATGACTGAGTAACTTTTCCTTATAGAAAGGTTGGAGATCGTGCACTGCGCCAGATAAAGTAGCAGCCGAAGCGCTCTGTCTGCGGGTTTTGGTAAGGATAATGTGGGTAAGATACATGTGCAACGCATTCATGAAAATCTTGGGTACAGGAGGAGTAGAAACCTACTCTCAGACTACTTACAAGTAGTAAGCACCTATTATCACACTAGTAGCACTTATTAGAATCAGGGCGCAGCGTCCGCTGCGAAAAACACAAGGAGGTCGCAATCTGGTCACAGGGAGGGGGTCACGACTGTCCACAAAAAAATGAATTTTTTTTTCTTCTGATTTTATGTTCTGGGCGCTCATCATTGGCAGAATCTCAACCGAATATTTTTCTTATGCTAGTGGTTGTTTGCGCCCCGCTCTAGGCTTGTTTTTAGGTTAAAATGTCTAGGAACTGGCTGGTTTTAGTAAGGTGTAGGTGGGTTAAGACACCGCCTGACCAGTTCGACGCTGTTCAAACCTCGACCTCACCTTCGCGCTAAGAATGCTATGTCATATTTGTCAGTGATGTCTCACAAACGAAACTTTGGAGTGCAAACAATAGGGCGTGTAAGTGGGCGTGCAATGGAGCGCAGTCAAAGCGGCCTCTTCGACCATTTGATGCCATGCTGAGTCCGTAACAGTTGGTAGAAGAGGCCGCTCTGGTAGCTCTCCAACCCACGCTCACCATTGTTTGCAAGTGTCATGACTGATCATTCAAAGCTCCATGATCTTGTTAAACGAAACACTTCAAGAGTTTATGTGACAGTGTGGGCCCTTTCTCAGGTTCCAAAACAACCAGCTACCGTGACTTAAGATCAATACAAACTGAATTATACGAAATGCTAGTGGAAAACGAACCGTGAACAACTGGTCGGTTATTGAAGAAAAAGTTTGTGGTCCAGGACTTACGGTTTCTTTCCTGGAGCCCCGAGAACAAGAAAGACACAGAGCTGGAGAAGAAATTCGATGCACAATGAAGCTCAACGATCCTATTACTTTATATTCAAAGCGATAAGCGGTTGTCAGCTCTGGTAAAATCGTCGGAGGTTGGCCGGTTCATTGGAATTCATATTTCGTTTCAAACTCCGTGCAGTTGTTGCAGCTGGGCTAGAACCTGCTACAGTTGCTAACAGTGAAGTCAGCCGAGGTATCAACGGTGCATCGTTTTTGGCGCAGCACTGGTAAAATCGAATCGGTCAAACGCCACTCAGGTTTCTACTGAACGTTGTGGCTTCGGATATTTCTGAATGAGGGGAAAGTGGTTGACGCTGCGTCAAAACGGGAGTATCGCTAGCACGCCCCGGCTGACTTCAGTGACAACGACTGTTTGAGACTCGTAGATTGTGACAGTAGCTCTTCAAACCAATTCGGCCCCTTTGAAGCAACCTTTGGGTCGAAAAACCACACAGTAAGCGGTCGACTTCCATCTTGACATATTATGTAAGGCATAATAAGGAATAAACTAAAAACTGTTACATTGAGGAATAACTTCTGAACGTTTTAATTTGTTTTCTTTGCTTTTTGATCGAATGTAAACCATTCATTCAAGAGAGGTCTACAAAACTGTGCTGATCCCCTTCTTGTATAACTCATTTTTCTATTGTATTTGAGGATTAGAGATGGAATAACCCTAAGGAAAAAAAACATTTTAGACATCTGCTCTTCTTCGCTTCCCAACGTGGCTGAAAACTGCCCAAGCAGACCCCAGGGACATTTGCAGGGTATACGAGGAGGGTGTCGTAGGTGAGTGCAGCACGGAAATGGTTTGTAAAGTTCAAAATGTGATTTTGATATTCTGGACACGCCCCACAGCGGACATATTCTTAATTCGCAGAAGAGTATCTCAGAGGAATTCAGTGCGCTATGATTAGCTTAAAAGGAGGGCTACTGTCAACAAGGGGCTCTGCATAGCCCAGCATACCTGGTGATATAGGCTAGTTGACTGAAAAGACCTCATCGACGAGGCCTAACCGTACCCCTTCACGACAATGGCAGACTCCATGCTGCACAAGTCATCAGATCCACATTTCAGGGGCTCGAATGGGAGGTTTCGGCATCGGCCATATTACTCGGACCTTGCACACCCGCCTCGGTTTTTTGACCTCGATGAAAAGCGAAGAAGAGCAGATGTCAAAAATAATTATTTCCCTCCGCGATTTTGAATTTCTGAACCTAAAAAGTATTGAAAAGTACATTGTAGGAAAACGATCAGAATAGCTCTATAGAGCAGAAAGTGCTCTGTCGGAAGAATGTTACATGTACTGTTGGTCACAAAGCAAAAAGTTGTTGACAAAAAAAGAAAGTAACACGCGCGCTATTGTAAGAACTTGTCTTTCGGACTGATACATGCCAAGCTTGCAAGAAGATCGAACCTGGAGGCACTAAACAGAATTCAACAAAAAGGTAAGCAAAATGTATGCGATAAAATATAGGAGACAGATGGCTCCATCTGCAATACGTCTTCTGCTTTCATCAGAAAATGAGCAGGTGCAGCGGATCAATAAGTGGCTGGCAGACCACCATAAAGGTGAGCAGAGCAGGTAACCAGGCAGTGAATAATGTATGTGTATGTACCTGACCTGAAAGCCTCTTTGTTGACCTGGAAACGGAATGGATCGTCTTCTTTGGGAAAAAAGGGAAAAAAATACGAAACTATACATTTTCCCTTTGACATTCACCCGCTTAGTGCAATTAAGACGTTGTTTTAGTACAACTGAAAATTTCCCGAAAGAAAACGATGAATGTCATTCCAGTTATTTTCTGTGTACAGGTTTAGCATTATGTATACTCGAAATCCCTGAGATCGGGTAGGCGTGGCCGCATTTCAACTTAACCTGAAGGTGTCTATGCTTCTGGTGAGATATTTTCATCTTGACACAATTGTTGTCGTGTCTCTGTCCAACACAGAACAAGATGACAGTTGTCCCAGACTGGAATATTCCACGAGTAACCAGTTCCGTGCCATGTTCAAATGCCACGCCTACTCTGGCTCAGGGATAAGGAGTGTAGATTTGTGTGCTCCTCATTACAACGAGTGCTCCTCATTATAAATGCATAAATCATGAGAACCCACAAATTTTAGTACCACACCTACTCGTGCATCAAATAAAGGAGTAAATAGGACAACACTAAAAGCAGGTACAGTCTTGTTCGATGCCGATACTGGGGCGTGTCAAGACAGGGGAGCTAGGTTTGACGCCGGCGGCATGTTTTTCACCAATGGCTGTCAGTCGCCGGATTCCACAATTGGTGGAAAATGGGGTCAAGCCGCCTCCTTTGGATCAGTGTCCGCAGTGAACAGGATTGTATCATACCACTTACTACCAGAGCGTGGGTGGACTAGAGCCTTGAGGAGCTGCATTTCACGTGAGGTTTGAAAAAATTGTGATAGAAGGTACTAAAAAAATGCTCGCCGGTGACTAGCCGCCCCCCCCCCTAAACGCGCCACTTACTAGACGCTTTCCCAAGTCGTAATTATTTGAATGGCTACTTAGTCAGACAGCTTTTTCAAGTCAGCCAGTAATTTATGGATCGCTTTCGTCTTCAAGTTTACTCCTGGCACCAGCCACTCAAGCAACCTAGACAAGTGGAGTACTCATTCACTCTGGTAAACTCTTGCTAGCTGCGGATGCTTGAGTATGTCATTGGGGTGAGTTTGGCGTGGTGGCAGCCCGATCTACACCACTTGTCCAAAAGGGCAAGGTATAACAACTGGAGGAAAACGGACTGGCCCCGCGCCAAGCTCATCCCCTCACATCCCAGAATTCGGTTTAGTCTGTGTAATTCTGTATAGCCTTCCACGCACCCACTATTGGCGCTAGTTTTTATGATTTATACTGTATTCGCAGCATAAGCAGCAACAGAGACCACTTAAGGCCGCGTTCATACGCAGAGAACCCTTGGAATCTGGGTTTTCGGGAGGAAACGAATCTGGAGATTCCGCGGATTCGCCATTTCTCCCAAAACGACAAAGGCGACGGTGAACGACCAGGGCCTACCTGGTCTCTGTTGTCAATTTCGCCATTTCTCTCAACATCACGGATTCCTTTTCCCTTCAAATACATACAGAGTCACTTTTTTCCTGCAGATTCGTAATTTCTTCGAATTGTTCGTGCATGAATAAACGAATACAGTTGTTCCACTATTGCAACCTTGGACCTGACAGCCGTCTGGAAATTCGGTTGCACACAACACACTTCGTTTCACGTCTTGCAGACATGTCGCCGAGCGCCGTTTTCATGATTTTCTTCTTTTCTTGTTTCGTCCTTGTAGGGATCTTTTTTCAATTAGGAGCTTCTCTAATCCAGGCAGCTGACATAGTCCGATTAGTACTGTGAGCTGAGGTGTGAGTGTCAAGCACTGTCAAGTGTTCTTTCTGTTTCGTACATAGCATATGCGGTTCGCTTACTGGAATCAGAAAAGCTAGTGATGCCAACGCTAATGGTATCCATTCTGTTCCAGTTAAGAATTTTTGGCTAGGGGACTCCAAATAATTCGGACACCATCCATGGAACTGCTGAGATATGTTCTAGTAGGCCTTACTCAGAGGCATTTTATGGGAGCCTATCCGTAGGTTAGATACCATTCAGCAACAAGGAATTCGCAGTTAAATTTCATTTCTTACCACTTTGTTGGATTTTATGTGTCGAGCGTTATTATTATTATTTTGTTAAGTTTGTTGTTATTTTAAGATTTTGCGGACTTGCTAGTTAACGTTGACAAACAGTAGAAATATGTGAAAGAAAGATGTTGGTTGACAGTTGATTTCTTGGATACTTCCATAGCATGCTTATTTAGGTGCCGCAATGGCAGCGCTTGGTTCCCGTTTGGACAGGAAAAAGAAAATGAAAGGGAAGAAAAAAGTGAAAAATCTCCTGGAGAAGAAGGCTAAAGGCTTAAAGCTAAATCAAGTCGACAGGAGACGAGTTACGAAGGTAAGTATCCGGCTATTATACGCATCACGGTGCTGTT